CCCAGGGAACCCCAAAAACCGCCCCAGGGAACCCCAAAAACCGCCCCAGGGAACCCCAAAAATCAACCCAAGGAACCCCAAAAACCGCCCCAGGGAACCCCAAAAACCACCCCAGGGAACCCCAAAAACCGCCCCAGGGAACCCCAAAAATCAACCCAAGGAACACCAGAAATCAACCCCTGGAACCCCCAAAAATCAACCCAAGGAACCCCAAAATCTCCCCTTGGAATCCCAAAACCACCCCATGGAACCCCAAAATCACTCCCCAAAATTTCCTCTTAAAACCCCAAAACTCATCCATTTGTACCCCAAAAATCACCCCTTGGAACCCCCAAAATCTCCCTTTTCTACCCCAAAAATCACCCCTCAGAACCCCCAAAATTGTCTCTTTCAAGCCCAAAAATCACCCTGTGGAACCCCCAAAATCAGCCCCTGGAACCCCAAAATTCCCTATTTGGAACCCCAAAAATCATCCCTTTGTACCCCAAAAATCCCCCCTCGGAACCCCCAAAATCTTCCCTTTTCACCTCAAAAAATCACCGTTTTTAACCCGTTTTTTTACAGTTTAAATCGGGATTTTTAAGGTTAAAATTTGACTGGAAAAGCTTAAAAACCTCTTGTGCACCCCAAAATTTCTCTTCGCACCCCAAAACCTCCCACTGACCCCACCCGAACCCCAAATCTGCTTTTTTACCCCCAAAACCTCCCACCCTTCAAACAGCATTTCCAGCCTTAGAATTCTATTTTTTTTTGCCCAAAATTCTCATTTTTTTGCCCAAAATTCCCATTTTTTCGCCCAAAATCCCCATTTTTTTCCCACCAAAACTTCACTTAAATCCCCCCAAATTTCACCCCGAGATTTTGGGGGACCCCAAATTCCTCCCCTCAATCCCACCAGACCCCCGCCCTAAATCTGGGCTTTTAACCCCTAAAACAGCATTTTTAGGTCGAAAAATCTCCATTTTTTCCCCCAAATTTTCCGTTTTTTCGACCGAAACTTGGCTTTTTTCACCCCAAATTTTTTGGGGGACCCCGAATTCCTCCCCCCAGCACCCCAAAACCCCAAACCTGGGAGTGGGGGTCGTAGTAGAGCCCCGTGAGGGGGTCGTAGTAGTACCCCGAGGTCTCGTCGTACTGGTACGTGGAGACGTCAGGCACGGCTGCAGGGGGCAAAGGAGAATTTTTGGGGTC